GTCAATGAAAATGCTTTAAAACAATACTAAAAAAAACAAACTCACTGCCGTCGAGTCGGATCCGACTCATAGCGACCCCTCCTTGGGTTTCCGAGGTGGTATCACTATGGAAGTAGATTGCCCAGTCTGCCTTCCAAGGAGTGGCTGGTGGGTTTGAACCACCAGCCTTATGCTTAGCAGTCAGATGCTTTAGGCACTATGCCACCAGAGCTCCCTTTAAAACAATAGAAAAATTAAAATATATACTGTAAGTAATCAGAAAATAAGTTGACTAACACTCTGATTTCACTGCCATTCATAAAGTTTTCCACTAAAATAGCATATAATATTTCAATGCTAATTCATAAGATTTTCAGTGGCCAAGTTTTTCTGAAGTGGATGGCCTCGTCCCTCTTCCCTGCCTTAGTCTGGAAGCTCTGCTGAAACCTGTCACCATGGATGACCCTGCTGGTATTTGAAATAGTGATAGCATAGTGTCCAGCCTCATAGCAACATGCAAGCCACCACAGTATGATAAACCGACAGACGAGTGGCATGCTCAAGCATGGAAAGGATTGTGAGTTTGGTGCAAGACAGCGCAGTGTTTCGTTTCTGTTGTACATAGGGTTGCTGTAAGTCAGAACCAACTTGACAGCACCTAACAACAACAACATTCTGATTTATGTTTTTTCCTTTTCTTTCTTTCTTTTTTTTTTTTAAATCTCAATTGCCAGTTTTTCCTTTTACTGTTTACATTTAAATCCTTACATTGTTCATTGAAAAGAGATTTTTTTTTCTTTTGTAGCTTTGACTGTATATTTCAAACATTATTACAGAATTCTAATTTCTGTTCAAATGTGACTTTTGTTCTCAGGAATAATGTTCTTTTTGAAGTTTGGAAATAAACAGCATGAATAGGCCTATCATTAACAAGCCACCTATTTCCGAACAGCATTCTATCCCTTGAATGCTAGCAAGCAACTCCTATCTTCCTTTGTATGTGGGTGCTGGTGTTTTCACCATCTGCCTTTCCCACCACTACTTCTCTCCCCTCTTATTAACTGGGGGAATGCATAACACAAATAACGATTTTTACAGGCAGTGAACATTATTGCTTAATACAGAGAAAAAGCAGAAATCTGTTAGTAATTTGGTAGATTTCATAAGCTAGCCCCAAAGCTGTTGTGCAATCATTATTTATTTCAGTGGAAATTTTTGGACCTTTTAGTATGTAGGTAGGTTCCTGAACAAAGAGCATTGCTAATTAACTATTTGGAGGGTAGACATTGCACTTTATTGGGAACTAAAGTAACTTGAAAAGTATAAAATGGATATTATTTGAAAACTAATTTACTTGTCATGCTCCTGGTTGACCAGATGCATTTTCCAGGAAAGCCACATAAAGCACTTTATGATACTGATGTTATGTTAGCGTATTGTACTTTACAAAAACCAAAAGACATATTTCATTTTATTAAAAATACATTCTTTTACAGGTATATGTTGCCACCTCAAATTATTTTATAATCAAATCTGTTGTCCACATTCTTTGCCACTGTTTTTAATTAGAGAAGAGATTCTTCTAATCAAGGAATTTGAGAAAGTTGTTTGGCAGAGTGGTATGCAAAATGCTTCATGGGGCACAATCATTTCAAATATGCAATCAAATCATTGTGTGATTTCTGTAGGAAAGAAAGCATTTATCTTCTTTTACTAGCATAAGGAGTTCTGGTGACTTAATGCCTAAGGCATCTGACTGCTAACCAGAGCGTTGGCATTTCGAACCCACCAGCCACTCTGTGGTAGGAAGATGAAGTAATCTACTTCTGTAAAGCTTTACTGCCTTGAAACCCAATGGGGGTCACTATGAGTCAGAATTGACTTGATGGCAGTGGGTTTTGGTTTTACTAGCATAACAGGGAATTGGTTTCCCTTCTAAGTTTTTGGAGGAATTTTGGTGAAATATATGTATATATATATATACAAATATATATGTGTGTGTGTGTGTGTGTGTGTGTGTATCTGAGCTATTTGGCCCTAGTTCTTAAAAACCCATTTGCTGTCTGGTTGATTCTGACTCATAGCAACCCTGTAGGACAGAGTAGAACTGCCCTAGAGAGTTTCCAAGACTGAAATTTTTAGTCACAGACTGCTTCTCCTCCTCCTCCTTATTCTTCTTCTAACTTTTTATTATAATTTATATGAAAGTTTACAGAACAAATTCATCTTCCATTCAACAGTTCATACACATTTTGTTTCAGAACATCGATTACAATCCCCACAATGTAACAACTCTCTTTCCACTTCCTCTCTGTAGTTACCCTTTCCCTGTGTCCTTCTTCCCTATGCACTCCTACTAAATTTTCCCCCTGTGCAAATGCTGCCATTTATGATCTCCCATGGTTGAGTATTTTAAGGAGTGTATCTCCCTGAGTGCATCGTTCACTTTGTAGACCTATTGCTTGGCTGAAAGTTAAGTCACAGAAGTGAGTTCATTTCCAGGGCCAAGGGTCACTAGCGGCCATAGTCTTGGGCATTTCAGCAGTAAGCCTGATGCTTTTTTAAGATTTAGAGTTTTGTTCCACATTTTTTAACCCACTCTATCCAGAATCTCCATTTTAATCCATTTCCGAGTGGCTGGCTACTATCTAGTTCTTCTGGTCTCAGAGTCACGTAGGCTGAGGTTCACATGCTCTACTCAAGTCCTGTAGACTAATTGTTTCCTTGTATCTTTTATTTTGTTGACTCTTCTTTGCTCTGGACTGAGAGAGAACTATAGTTGCATCTTAGGTAGCTGCTCACAAAATTTTAAGACCTGGTGGCTTAGTGCCTAAAGTATTTGACTGCTAACCAGAAGAGGTTCAAACCCACCAACCGCTCCAGGGAAGGAAGCCTGGGCAATCTACTTCCTTGGAAAACCCAGTGGGGGTCACTATGAGTTGGTATCAACTTGATAGCAGTGAGTTTGGTTTGGGTTTTGACTGCTAACCAGAAGGCGGCAGTTCAAACCCACCAGCCACTCCTCAGAAGGAAGATAGGGCAATCTACTTCCATAGTGATACAGCCTTAGAAACCCAAGGAGAGGTGCCTATGAGTTGGATCTGACTCGACGACAATGAGTTTAGTTTTGTGGTTTAAGTAGCTTTCAAGACACTGAAGTAGGATGTTGAACAATGTTTTTGTGCACTATGTTATAATCCACTTGAACTTGATGTTCCCTGTGACCATATTCCTGAGCCTGCAGGCTCCGTGACTCAGTTCCTCAAGGCTAAGAAGTTATTATAACTTTGCCCCATTAGCACTATTATATTTATGGACATTTTTATAGCATGTGCAAATACGTATGTAGAACTATCACATAGACTGCCAATTCCTTCTCCCATGTAGCTAAGTGCTGACCTTTCAGTTAGCAGCTGAGCGCTTTAACTGCTGTGCCCTAGTTCTTTGCGACAAATGTACTTGCAAAGAACTGAATCCTGGAAAAGGCATTTGGCCAACAAGGGTCATGATAAGTAAATTAATTTTGCAATAATATCCATCTTATATTTTTCAAGTTACTTGAGTTACCAATAATGTGCAATATCTACCCTCCAAATGTTTAATTACCAATAGTTATTATTTAGTTAAAGGAACTCTGGTGGCACTGTGGTTAAAGCATTGGGCTGCTAACCAAAAGGCCAGGGGAGGAAGATGTGATGGTCTGCTTCCCTAAAGATTTATGGTCTTGGAAACCCCATGCGACAAGTTCTACTCTGTCCTATACAGTTGCTACGATTTGGATCGACTTGATAGCAGTGGTTGAGTATCATTCAGTAATTGATCAAGCTTCATCAACCAAATGAAAACATTTATAAGTTTTTAGGGGGACAGTGGTGTGAGTACTGTGTTATTTACATATAGATAAAAAGCCTGACAACTTTCAGAAGACTGGAGTGCCAGCGAGGCCAAAGCCACTTGCCTCATCATTGAGCCGATATTGCCATCTTCTGGGCTAATCGTGCTATTGCAGTCTGTGAACCGAGAAAGCTAGAAGTAGTCCAATTATCTGTAACTATGCCTTCTTTACTTTCACTTAAACATCTTTTTACATACTGATAGAACTAGATCTTGATGAATCCAAGAACTGTGGAATAATGTTATTCTTCAGATATGTGTGAATAATTAGCCTAGCAGAAACAGCCACTAAGTCTTAGGGGCAAAAACCAGTCTAATGACATGACTGTTTATTGGCTAAATACAAAGCTGAATAGTATCTGACAGAATTAGATTTTCAAGAATAATGACTTTTATAGTTCATCCATTGTATTCTGCTCCTCAAAACAGACTTTAACCATTTTCTGAGATATGTGCATTGTTTGGAAAACAATGCATCCATCAAATACGTTTCCAGGTAAATCATAGGATATAGTTGGACCTAGCAATCTGTGTAGTCAAGTGTGCTACTAGACCCTGGTTTATCTTCCCCTTCTAATATCATCTTCCTTGACTTCTGTGAGGTCTGGGTGGCCTTGGAATAGATGGATACAAGGCCTCCAGGCTGAGTACTGGCCAACCATGGAAGAGTCAGAGCTTGGGAGAGGAGGGGAAGTTGGGAAACGGATAGTTTATCTATTTTACAGTCAGAGAGGCCCTGAAAGAAAATACATACATTAAAATAGGATACCTGTACCACAGATAGCTAACTACATGCAATGTTTCATGTTTAAAAAATATGTAGAGAAAAATTCAAACCAAAACCAAACTCACTGTCGTCAAGTTGGATCCGACTGATAGCAACCCCTGCTTGGGTTTCTATTTCTACAGAAGTAGATCACCCAGTCTTCCTTCTGAGGAGTGGCTGGTGGGTTTGAACTGCCAGCCTTCTGGTTAGTAGTCAAATGCCTTAGGCACTATGCCACCAGAGCTCCCAGAAAAAAAATTAGGACAAGCATTTACAGAATTTGGAAATTTCAAAAGGAATACATAAATCAAATTTAGAAAAAATAAAATAAACATTCAAAATGTCAGTATAATTCTCTTTAATAAAATGGAGATCCCTGTAAAAATAATTTTGAAACAAATGGTGAAAGCCAAGGAACTTTCTAATCCATTTTGATAATTCATGTTACATGTGCTTTAAATTCGTATGTGTTTGTTTACTTCATGATCTGTGATTCAATTTGACAGGGGAGGCTGATACGGAGAGTGATGATGATGACGATGATGATGACTGTAAAAAGTCTTCCATGGATGAGGTGGGTATCTTCCCCTTGACTTCTCATAGAGGCGTTCTGCCAACTGGCCAGTCTGGGCTCTACCACCATGATCCATTTCCTGGTCACTTCTACCATCTAGTGGCGAAATGCATCACCGTTCACTGTTAAAAATTTCTCACCACTCTGTTTCAAACTAAAGATGCAAACTGAAGTTCTTAAAGGAATAAGCAGAACATTGAGCAAAGTTCTTTATAATAAGCAGAGTTGCCAGGATTACCTTCCATCAAATCAGGTATCTGGGAGGGTAAGTTAAAAATTTGTGATATTAAACTGCCAGCCGCATTTTTGAGGCAATGAAATGGAATGTCAAATAGTTGTGAAGTTCAGAGAAGATAGGAGATTTGAAGAAATGTTCAGAAATGTGATGTTAATTCCACTGCTGTGTTTTTGGAACAGTCAAATACCTAATACTATAAGCCTAAGCCTCCCGAGTACTTCATCAGCTCAGAAATATTAATTCCAAAAAATCAAGAGGTGAATCAGTGGCAGATCATTGGAATGTTTAATTTTGTGTTAGGAAGTTTATACTGAATCAATGATCAAATTTACTGGAAGTCCTGTGTTTTTATGAAATTAAATTCCTAAAAATAAATAACTAAGGGTAACTATTAATCAGAATCTATTTGACAGCAGTGGGTTTCATTTTGGTTGAAGTTTCCCTTATTTGATGTCCTTCTCTGTAATCATTTCCTTAAGTTTAGCCTATCTGTTTTTATTCATTATGTTCCCCGCTAATTTTCTAGTTAATGTACAAAAGGAAAATTGGTACCGTGTCTGCTAAAGTAGTTCTGCCTGAAGGTTCTTTGCATTGTGTTTAATTTTTTATCAGTGACTCTTGATAATTTTAGAACTATCTTATTTTTGGGGTGGTCCATGTGCAACTGAATCTTTCCCAGTAGACTTTTATCATAAATATTGCTACAGTGGTTTTCAAAAGAAGTTTATCCGTATGTATTCCCTCTTCTTGAAAAAGGGATAAACACTAGCTCAGTCTACAGAAGTCTGTCTGCAGTATTGGTTTTCTTTTTTTTAAAAAAAAAAAAAGCTGTATCAAAGTAATAAGTAATAACTAGTAATGACTAAAATAAAATGAATCAATGCCAACTCATAGTGACCCTCATAGGATTTCTAAGGCTGTGAAGCCAACTGCCTCATCTTACTCCCACAGAGCAGCTGGTGGGTTCGAACTGCCAACCTTTTGGTTAGCTGCCCAATGTCTTAATTTCTGTGCCACCAGAGCTCCTTTATATGCTGTAGAGACTGGTATTATCCTGATTTTCACAGATAAGTAAACAGATGAGGTACAAGACATTTTCTGTGGGCTCTCTGTTATGGAAGATAAGATATAGCTCACTGTTTTGCAAACTTCTGTGTGCATTTGGGTCACATAGAGTCTAGTTTGGGAGGCCTGGGAAGGGGCCTCAGACTCTGCATTTCCAATAAGTCCCCAGGCAGTGCTGCTAGAGGTGGGACCAACTGTTGGGAGCTTAACTTAAACCCCCCTCCTCCCACCCTTCATATTTTTAAGTGTGATACTGTTCTTTTGCAAATCCTATAATGAATTTCCTTTTGGGAGTAATTATTTTCAGAAGAGGAGGAACAATTTTCTGCTAACACAGGCCAAGTGATCATTACCCTGGGAAAATAATCCTCTACTATATAATGCTGACACTGGAAATGCTATTTTTATTTCTGCCTCCAGGGGACTGCTGGGAGTGAGGCCATGGCCACAGAAGAAATGTCTAACCTGGTGAACTATATTCAGCCAGTCAAGTTCGAGTCATTTGAAATTTCAAAAAGTAAGTTTTCCCAGGAGAAAAACCTCAAATGTAGCATGTAATGTGTATATTTTGAAAACAAAGTCATGAGACCAGAGAATATTTCCCTTCATAGAACTGTTCTGTGACAATGAAGCCTTGAACATGCACATGCATTGACTATGTCATCATCTTAAAATATGTATGTTAAAAAACATGGGAGAAAGTATTCTCTGATGTTCATCCAAAATGCTTAATAGAGCTACAGGTCACACATGGTCATCTGAAAGATATTAGACCAGCGTACAGCTAATTGAGAGTTTTACATTTGTTTTTGTTTGGATTTAATCTTAACAACACAGCTGGATTCACCTATCACTTATCTAAGCAGTAGTATTAAAATAAAGTATCTACCCATCCCCTAGAAGGAAAGTAGCTAGAGACTGGCAACCCTGATAACCAGAAATAGAACCAAATCCACTGATTCACTCATGTTTCATTTGTCTGGCCCATGTTTCCATCTTTCCTCAACTTAATGAAAAGAGAAATTGTCCTTTATAGTTGCATGAAATGTAAGATAGTATCAGATAAAGAAGGAACTCTGCTGATGTAGTGGGTTAGGCATCCAGCTGCTAACCCCAAAGTTGGGAGTTCAAGCCCACCAGCTTCTCCAGATGAAGGAATCTACTTCTGTAATGATTCATAGCCTTGGAAACCCAATAGGGCCGCTATGAGTCAGAACTGACTCTATGGCAGTGTTTTTTTGTGTGTGTGTGTGTGTGGTGGCAAGGTTCAGGTTAAGAGCATCCTTCGGGCATTTTAGATGTTTATTAGGATGTGCTCTTAAAAACTGAATTTCTGCTTAAACACAGGAGCACCTCCAAATTGATGGTTTTATAAATATATCAAAATCTAACATTGCCAAAAGACTGTGAACTTAATGGTGTGTGGTAACTAGATCACTATTAAAAAAAAAAAAAAACTCACGCCTATTGAGTAGATTTGATTCACAGCAACCCCTCCTTGGGTTTCTGAGGTGGTATCTCTATGGAAGTAGATTGCCCAACCTTCCTTCCAAGGATTGGCTGGTGGGTTTGAACCACCA